TAGGAGCAGGAAAGTCTGACTACCAAATTCTTAAACTGCATTCTAAAATACTCAGGATTCATTATCAACCAAAAAAATTGCCAGATGCAGCAATTAAATCCAGAAACTCAGTAATAGTCAAAGTATAATGTACTAGGCATGGCAAGGTGACAGCTAATCTAGGAGAGTAGTATGTAGACAGTCATTCTATTCTTTCAAGTTTTCCATGTATTTGAATTTTTCAAAATTTGAAAATACATATTTAAAAAGTACAATGTAACAAATCAATAGAATTAACCTATTTTAGATAATTTTTGAAAAGATCTAACTGCGTAATCAACATTAGATAATAAATACCATATTTATAAATGAATTCTAAGTGTATCATAACTCATTTTATTTATTTATTTGTTTGTTTGTTTGTTTGAGACAGAGTCTCACTCTGCTGCCTGAGCTAGATAGCAGTAGTGTCATCATAGCGCAATGCAACCTCAAACTCCTGGGCCTCAAGGGATCCTCCCACCTCAGCCTCCCAAGTAGCTAGGACCAAAAGTGCATGCCACTGTACCCAGCTAATTTTTCTTGTTTTTTGTAGAGACAAGGGTTCCCTCTGTTGCTCAGGCTGGTCTCAAACTACTGACCTCCTCAAGTAATCCTCCTGCCTCGGTCTTAACAAAGGGTTAGGACTACAGGCATGAGCCACCATGCCTGGCTATACTAACTCATTTTGATAAGACCGTTCTTAGTGAATAATTCTTAAAAGTGTCTTAATCTTCTATGATTCAGAATCTCTGTAACAGCAAAATTAATTCTGACATTTTACATGAATGATTGACTATAAATACTATGTACTATGCCTAGCAATTTTAACTGAATAATAAAATCATCTATTTCTTGACAACTTAATACTGAACTCCTGAAAGAGTAGTTTCAAGTAAAAGTTTCTGAGGTAGGTGCGTAGAATACAAGCATACTAGTATACTAGTCCCATTCAACTTTTTAAAAAACGTATTCACAGTGGAATCTTCTTTTATTAATCAATGCATGTATTTTAATATTGATCAGTCTCAAATCATCTTTTAGTTAAAGTATTTCACAGTTCTAGCTCATTTTTACCTTCAAGACTAGCTTAAAATTGCATAATTAGGTTATTACTGTACAAACATAGCCCTTAAAATAGACATAATCGTTCATGTATGTTTTCATTAAGTAGAGATGCTTCTGTGGCTTGTACTTACTATGTGAAGGGCTTGATATTAAGATCGAATAAAGAAATGTAAATTCTATCCAAATATAACCAGTTTAAAATTTCTGAGTGATATAAACACTTGAATGTTCATGAAACATTTATACATCATATTCTTTTGATTCAATAAATCCAAAGTATACAAAATATCAGTAAAAACCTACACTCCTCATATCTATCATTTTACTTAAAAATAGAACATTTACAAATATTCAAAACTTTATATTTAAAAATCATACCTGTCCATTTAAAATCCTCGTAAAAAGGGTGTTCTTATCTTTCAATTTTAGCTCAAGATCCATAAAAGTTAGTTTATTTGTGCTGACCTGGAATTTGTCATTAGTGAATAATGCACCAGATATTCTATTGTAGCATTCAATTGGTGCAAGCCCTCTCTTCTTAGGAGGAGTACACCAGTCAAAGCTTGAACAGAACAAATACATTAGTTAATAAAAAAGATTAGGTTATAAAACAATATAATTTCAGCAAAAATCAAAACTTACTCTTCAACTGATGTATACGGTATTAATCGTCCATTCCAAAAACATTCAAAAATAGGCCTTTTCCCTCTTGCTGCCTTCTCAAGTATGAAACAATCGTCATCATCATCTTCATCTTTTAATTCTAGATCAAAAGGGTTAAGTGGAACAAAATGTTTATTGCTATAAAGTATGTGCAATTTTTAGCACTCCGAAGTCAACTGCTATAATGAAGTATTAAAGTTGCTTCAGAGAAATGATAACGCAAACACATAATCTTTCACATCACAGTTTATAAAGCCTAAAGACAGTTTTACTCTGCCCCCAGAAAGGCAGGTTTCCAAAGTGGTTCCAGATTATCAACGGTGTTTGCCATTTAAAAGTCAATACTTACTTATATACTAATCAATCTGTGTTAAGAATACTACATTAGCTGCTGAACCTGTAATCTTTAAAACCTATTTATAGAGTTAAAAGAGTCATATACCCAAAAAGATTAGCTTGAATCTTGCATCTAAAACAGTTTCACAATTCTGTCAGAACCAGTACATTCACATGAAAATCATCTGAGAAATCTATGACATCTAATAGTATCAAGTTTGCCTAGTTTGGACAAATGAGTCAATAATATTGAATTTAAATTTACTTTTTATAAACTATTTCATTTTCAGATTCAGGTAAGCAAGAAATATATATGCAGTTGGAATTACAACATACATTACTATGTATCAAAAGCATGATTAGCACAATTGTCTATAACATTATATTTCTTAGTAATACATTCTCACTTATCCAAATAAATTAGGATTAAACATTATGATCCTGATATATTAACACCTCAGCTATCCTGGCATTAAGTCATCCATCTAAAATAAAGCCTTCCCCCAAAAAGCCCTCACAAGAAATCCCTATGTAAAAGTTCCTTTCTTTATGCCTGTAATCCTAGCACTCTGGGAGGCCGAGGTGGGATGATCCCTTGAGCTCAGGAGTTCGAGATCAGCCTGAGCAAGAGCAAGACCCCATCTCTACTAAAAATAGAAAAAAATTAGCCGGGTGTTTTGGTGTGTGCCTGTAGTCCAAGCTACTCAGGAGGCTGAGGCAGGAGGATCACTGAGTCCAGCAGTATGAGCTTGCAGTGAGCTAGGCTGATGCCATGGCTCTCTAGCCAGGGTGACAGCGAGACTTTGTCTCAAAAAAACAAGTTCCTTTCAATTAAACCAAATCACTTTGCTCTTAGGGAAGACTCCCTCTGATCATCACTCAACTTACTGGCTCTTATTTTAAGACATCATTTGAAAACTTTGTATCATTTTGTCTGTAAGCACAAAAAAATTAGAAATAGCAAATTTAAAAAGTCAGAGACGGCCGGGCGCGGTGGCTCACGCCTGTAATCCTAGCTCTCTGGGAGGCCGAGGCGGGCGGATTGTTTGAGCTCAGGAGTTCAAAACCAGCCTGAGCAAGAGCGAGACCCCGTCTCTACCAAAAATAGAAAGAAATCAATTGGACAACTAAAAATATATAGAAAAAATTAGCCGGGCATGGTGGCGCATGCCTGTAGTCCCAGCTACTTGGGAGGCTGAGGCAGAAGGATCACTTGAGCCCAGGAGTCTGAGGTTGCTGTGAGCTACGCTGACGCCACGGCACTCACTCTAGCCCAGGCAACAAAGTGAGACTCTGTCTCAAAAAAAAAAAAAAAAAAAAAAAAAAGTCAGAGACATCACAGGAGGCAGAATCACTGAGAAATAACATATTCTGAACACCTACTAAATAGTGCTGGGCACTCTGAGAACTTGCCTCGGTTTGTTATTTAACCTTCACAATACCTCTATGAGGTATGAACTACTACCTCCTTTTCACAGATGAGCAAACTGACGTAGGGAGTAGTTTGTCCAAGTTTACACAACAGAAAGTAGCAAAGATGGGATTCAGATTAGGAAGTCTGGTTGCAGAGCCCATGAAACTAAGAATGTACTTATTAATGAAGCACTCTGGATAAGAAAGTTTGATATTATTAATCTAAAAGTTCAATGCAATCCCATTAACCCCAGTAGGATTTTTTTAAGTGAATGTACAAAGCTGATTCTGAAGGTTATCTATAAAAGTTTAAAAATATTTTCAAAAAAGAAAAATAGAATACTTTGCCCTGAAGATATCAATATACAGGATAAAGCTACAAGACAGTATCATTACTTACGTACAAAAATATAAAATAGTACCTTACAGTAAAAAATTTAGACCTACATACTTATTGGAACTTTATATTAAAGTAATATTTCTAACTCCTAGGAAAATTCTAATATTCAATAACTGATGCTATGAAACTGAACACCACCTGGAAAATACTTAGTTAAATCCCTACTTTACTCTCTGTACAAAAAAGGAAAACAGATGTGTTAAACATCAAATGACAAAAACAAAAAAACTACAGAATCTTTTTATAATCTTGAGGTGTAAGAACCCTTTCTACAGCAAGACTAAATCAGAAAGTATAAAAGAAAAAACTGATAGATATGGCTGCATAAAGTATAAAACTTCTTTATAAATAAAAAAATAAAGAGAAGACAATAAAGGGAACATGTACAGGAATAATAAGCATATATATGTAGAAGTTTAGTTCAGTAAGAGATCTAAGAGAAAAGAAAAATTTCTCAAAGCTTTATTCATCTGAAATTAAAAATACACAAAAATCAATAATTATAAAAATTACAAATGCCTCACTTAAGACTTACATAAGGAAAACAATTTTAGTTATTTATCTAACCGAATAGCCCAACTAATAATAATCATTTAATAAAACAAATCACTATGCTAAATCACAACTTCACGTTCAGTAGCTAAGATAAGATATTAACATACTTGATGGAAAGCATGGATCATCAGGGTATGTTTCTCTGTCATATAAGAAAGGATGGTATCGGATAATCCCTTCCACTACACCGTCTCCTTCAACATGAGCCTTGAACTCAAAACTATCAGCTGCTGTGTTTATATACAATGTTTGCATGTCATCTTGTATTTCCCTTAGGTTGATAATTTTAGGTGCCTTCCCTTTTTCAAACATAGAAATCTAAAATAAAAATAAAACAAAAACAATTAAATTCTATGGTGATTTGACTTTTGTTCTCAGCTATGATTCAACAACAGAATAGGCAAAAACTATGTTTATCTGTACAAGTAACCATCTGGTTTAATGAAATATATATATATTTATATATGGGTTAAATAGCTTTAACACATTAACTGCCATGTGAGTTGTCTTTAACTCAGGCTAGTTTTGCGCCTGGGGCCTCATAAAGCATATGTAACTCACACGTCTCTTCACCTTGGGAGCTACAAGAACTATTTTTCAAGTTGCCTATGACTTACACACAGAAAACAATAAAAATTAATAAATGGGTTAAATAGCTTTAACACATTAACTGCCACATGAGTTGTATTTAACTCAGGCTAGTTTTTGAGCCCAGGGCCTCATAAAGCATATGTAACTCACATGTCCCTTAACCTTGAAGGCCACAAGAACTATTTTTCAAGTTGTATATAACTTACACACAGAAAACAATAAAAAATAACCAATTTTCAATTAAATTATACAGGATTGTTTTTGCTTTCAAAGTTTTTACTCTATTTTCATAATAAAGCACCGTGGCCCCAAGGAAAAAACTCCTTTTTCTAATGTGGCGGTCGATGTGTTAAGAAGCATTTCAATAAGAAATATACTACTAAAAACTATAAAGTAAGCAAAGAAACAGTAAATCAAAGCTAAAGGACAGATAAGTAATGAGTATATTTAATTTAAGGTTTCTTGCTAGAGGCACAAGTGGAACAACATTGTACATGAAATTTTTTCTCATGTGTGGACAAAGATATTGAGAACCTAACACTCAAATGTTCTGTGCTTCTAAATCTTGTCACCACTACAAGACTTCTATGAACAAATGGAAAACTATGTTATGTCCCTTTTCCTCTCTGCTTCAAGATGTTTGGTAACAACTCATATGACTATAAAAGAGAGAAAAAAGAGAAACATAGCACTATAATAAAGAAAAAGTTCAAGAAAAATATATCTAAGAATGATCTCTTTACTTGGGTATCAAATAACCAAAGTACTTTGGTGAAAGACAAGGAGAGGGAAGTTAATCTAATTACGGACTGGTTTTTGTTATTCAGAGTCACTTGGAATCAGGACAGATAACTAATAAT